GAAGCTCAGAAAAGCACCCCAGTTAGCACTTTTCATGTTGGGCCTTTGGTGCCTTGCTCATTTTAGTGGGTTTAGGTCAAGGGTTAGGTCAAGTCATTTAGGCCTCCAGGAGTGAAGCCGCAGTTCCTGAGCCCAGCCTGGGATTTCAGACACTGGAGCAGCAGCTGCCCAGAGGGCTTGGAGTCTCTCCCTACACCCCTTGGGATGTAGGGCTTGAGATGGGGCTCTCTTCTTCACACTCAGAATGGGTAGGCCCCTAGCCCCAGGAAGCTCCACAGATGGGGTCCAGCTGCCATGATAGCAAACTGCAGGAGGCTGCATGCTAAGTCTTAGAGGATGGGGTATGCAGGGAGTGTGAATAGGCTCGTGGCATGGGGTGTGCATGGACTGTGAACAGGCTAATGGCATGGGGTGTGCATGGAGTGTGAACTTGCCTCAGTGGATAGGGTGTGCATGGAGGGTGAACAGGTTCAGCGGATGGGGTGTGCATGGTGTGTGAACAGGCTTGGTGGATGGGGTGTGCAGGGAGTGTGAACTGCCTCAGTGGATAGGGTACGCATGGAGTGTGAACAGGCTCAGTGGATGGGGTATGCATGGAGTGTGAACAGGCTTGGTGGATGGGGTGTGCATGGAGTGTGAACAGGCTCGGTGGATGGGGTGTGCAGGGAGTGTGAACAGGCTTGGGGCATGGGGTATGCAGGGAGTGTGAATATAGTCTTTCTAGTCCCTGGGAGTGGGAGAGCTGTGTCTCCCTCCACCCCTGCCCCCTAAGAACTGCTGTGCCCTTGGGAAAGGCATTTTGTTCAGCAGTATTTCTTCATAAATCTGCTGCCAGTCATCCTGGAACTTTGCCCCCTGCCCCAGGTTTTCTCTCCTGGCCTCTCTTCCTCTTTCCCCTGCCCCCTCCCACTCTTTCCCTTCTGTTCCTCTCCACCTTCCCCCAACCCTCCTCATTGTTCTGGGTCCCCTCTTGAGCCTTGCTTCTTCCTAGGGTGTGACTCTGGGTAAGGGGCCTTTCCAGCTCCTTCAGCTTGGTAGTGGCATCTAGCGGAAAAACGCCCTGGGGTAGCATGTCCTCCAGGGAGGAAACAGTGGAGAAGGAGAAATGATTGGGAGGTGAAGCTGACAGGAAAGCAGTGGTGTGGACAAATGTGAGGTGTGGGGAGCCCACCTGCCTCAGCTGCACTAGATCAAAGGCCGTGCCTTGAGGGCAGCTCTCAGCTTCTCCTCTGCAGAGAAAAGGTCACTGACACCCCTTCTACCTGGTTTCCAGAATGGGAACTGTGAGCAAACTACACCATCAGGGGCTGCCTGGGGCACCCTGAGACCACTGCAGCCAGCCAGATCTCAGTGGACATGGGGAGGGACAGAGCTCAGCTCTGCAAGGAGGCCGTTTGGCCATAGTGCAGCCATCTCGAATGAGCCTTCCATTGATAGAATGGGGTGTTGGAGCCTCTCTCTGGCTGCTTCTCTTTATGGGGGGGGGTGTGAGACAGGGAGGAAGAGAGACAGAAAGATTAGAGATTATTCTAGACAAGGATAGGGATAATGGGGGGATGGAGGGAGAGTGAAGGGGGGTGCTGGAGGGAAGAAGAGAGACTGAGGGGCACAGGGAAGGGGAGGGAGCTGTCTCACCAGTACAGCCTTCAGGCCAGGCATGCTAGGGGAAAGTAGGTGGCATAAATCGCAGGCATGATCTCAGGAGACGGCCACTTTAAATCTTAATTGGTTGCCTTTTAAATATCATTTAAGGGCTGGCTTCCCTGCCTTTCTCTAGTTAAGAAGGTGTCGTGTCAAACTCTATTACCTTGCTGGGCAGCTCTCCCTTACATTAAAAAAAAAGGAAAGGAAGAAAAAAAGAAAAAAATGGAATCATCAGCGGCCGTTTGAGGGGTCGATAAAGCTTTTAGATTTGGAGACGTTTTCCGGGAGCCCATTTCCTGCGGCTAAGAGTTGTTAATGGAGCTTAAGGAATTATCTCAGGCCGGGTGGCAGAGAGCCGTATATTCCTGCGCCTGTTCCCTTGTCGAGTCTGAATATGCCGCTGTCAGACTCGCTTAATGAAAAGTAACGCACCGCTGATTACAGTTTTATTTGGGCTCCATGTAAAGAGCGCCGTTAATTTAGCACCCCTCCTTGGTGGGTTTGAATTTGCCACGCCTGAGCGACTGAGGCAGTCCCCACCCGTCCTGGCGCCTTCCAGCCCTTCCCTGGGATCTCCCTGGGAGAGATGTCCGCTTGACCCTTGCCCTGTCCGTCCTGCCCTGTGAACAGACACCTTTCCCCAGGCATCCTTTCACACCTAAAATTCATTCTCCTCTGTCCTCACACCTTTGCAGGACCCTCCCCAAACACTGCAGGGGTCACTGTTACCCTGACAGCCCCTATGCTGGAAGAATACCCAGGGCAAGTAAGGCTGCCTAGCAATCTTTCCAGACTACCCCCAAAGAGCTGGCATGTAGGTCCCAGTGGCCAGCTCCAGCTTGGGGGTGTCATTTTCTGTGTGAGGCCCTCATTGTGGCCGAATCCTCTCTGCTTTACATCTTGATCTCACACTGGCTGGCCCACGGTTCATTTCAGCAAGCCATCTTTGCCAGACAGCTCCTCAGGGTCTGGGGGCTCCTGCAATGTGGGATTCCAATGGCCAAGGCCTTGGGGAGGGAGTCCTCATACCCAGGATGGTAACCTAGAGCCTGAGGTACCAAGAATAATAAGCTGGGGCAGTGGATATCTCAGAACCCAGACCAAGCCAGAGCAGAACCTCTCCTCCCCGGCATGCTCCCTCTCCCCAGGGTGGTGTAAACCCAGGGGTCTCCTGCAACCAGGACATGAGATCCAGGTCCAAGCCTCAAATTTCTGCCTCCACAGCCCTACCCCACCTACCCGTGCAGCCTTCCCCTAAACCTTGTTTTTTCAGAAAATGCCTGGCTTTGTCTGGGGCTGAGGGCAGAGGTGGGGGCGCGCTCTGGAGGTGCCCTCTGCCACATTAAAATTCCTGGCGCCCCAGCCTCACTGCAGTGCTTCTCCCCTGAGACTCCACTTCCGTTCTTGCTGTCAGATACCCTCGACTCTTATTTCTGCCCTTTTATCTATTACAACTAATTCGAGTTCTTTTGCCCTTTTCAGTCTAAGACGTGGGCTTTCTGCAAAGCCTCCCCCTGCCAGAGCTCTCGAGCGCGGAGCCTTTAGAAATTGAGGGGTTTACTGTCAAAATGAAAATTTCACTTCAAATTATCTTGGCTGATGTTGGCTCGCCAGGCCGGGGGCTGCTGCAGCAGCCTTCTGACAGACGCATCAGCGGCGCGCTTCCGAATCTGGATAATATCATCCAAGAGAGCGAAAGTCAATACGGTGACAGCACCAGGCGGATACAATCCAATTACTGAGTCTCTGGCCAGGGCAAGCCTCAGGCTGGGCGGCCACCGGGGTCTGTCTGGGGCCGAAGGTGGTCCTGCTCTCATGGTTCAGAGCTGGTCCCACCACGCTGGGACCTCTCGAGACCCACATACCCTGTTCCAGCAGTGCTGTGTCTCCCTTGTAACTGTTCACACACAACAGTGCTGTGTGTAAACTCGCCCCAAAGCTCAGCCCTAAAGGCCGGGTCAGTTCCACTTACCAGAGCATCCAGACTGCCTGTCCGGGCCTTCCCCAGAGGCCTGGGACCCCACAGGCCCTAGTTAAGTCCCACCCAGCCCCAAGGACGAGGAAGGAGGCCCGGCCTAGCCTAGCTTGTTCCTGGAACAAGAGAGTCTCTGTCCCGCCTCAGGCAAAGGCCACCGTCACCTCCTCACCTCCGTACTGCACCCTCCCCACCTCCCAGACCTTCATGAGGCCCAGTAGGGACACCAACACTGAGCTAGCAAGAGAGCTGGGGCCAGGAGACAGAGACGTGCTGCACTACCTGGGGCCAGGGGAGCCAGCACACCGGGAGCGCCAGGAGGGAGGACAGAGCCCGAGATCATTGCCAGCCAGAGCCACCGGCCACCTGCAGACTCCCCGGCTGAGCTGGGAATGGAGACTGGGGTCCAAGCTAAGCCACAGTGTAGCACCCAGGCACTCTGCACCCTCAGTTGCCCCAGGATTGCTTCCGGAGCCCTCCCTGCTCCTGCCTTTTCCTCCCCACTCGCCCTCCTCAGGTGCCTGCTGCTCCTGGTTTTCAGGGTGGTGTGAATTAGCAGTGGAGTGTGGGCCTGGGATGGAATGAATGCTAGGAGGGCCCAGTGGGCAGTCTGCTCAGAAAGGCCTCAGGGCAGCACAGGCAGCCATGCCCCGCCCCTTTAGAAAGTTCAAAAGTTGTTCTAATCTAGTCAAGCCCCAATTTTCTCAAACTTTTGGAGTTCAGCAGTATTTTAAAAGTGGTGGGTCTTACACCACTTTTATGTTCAACAGAAGCCTCAAATTTCAGAAACCTCTTTAGAAATAGCTTTGCTTAATCTTGGGTTGGGCAGGCTACTTTATGGAGGTGGACTCTGGGTCAACACCCGCCCCACGCTCACTCCCTAGTTGGGGATTAGCATTACTTTCTCCACGGAGAATTCTCAAATCCTTTAGTTTGAAATGTGTTCGTTTTGCAATGCAAACACCATCACTAGGTTTTATTGGTTTTGTTATATTAGCCTCTGAAGCAGGCAATTATTGATGTGAACATACATTTTAAAAAACATAATTTTATCGAGTCAAGAGTGTGCAACAGTGTAAACTCGGTGGAAGTGCCACTGGTGAGAACGATGTGCTGCGGATGGAACAGAAGGTACACAGGCCGAGGGGTCTTCACTAGGAGACCGCATGCTTCAAACCCGAAAGAAATAGAAAAACAAACAAAGCCTCAGAAACTGAGCCGCCTTCTCCATGTAAACTTTTTGACGTAAACTTTATGCTCCAGGGTGGCTCCTTTCTGCTAGGAGAACCCCTCCTGCCAGTCCGGAGTTCAGGGATGGCCCAGGACAACGCAAGACTTCGTGGTGTCAGAAGACGTGGCCTGCGTGACACGGTATGGTCGGGGAGCCCGAGTTCAGAGCCTCCCTCTCCGGTCGGGTGGCGGCTTTACCTTGGCTGCGCTCTTGTCTTCCTTTGGAAACTCGGTTTAAAAAAAAAGCAGTCTGCGCCGTCTGTGCCTGCAGCCTGAGCGCTAGTTCTGTTCTGAGCTCGCCCAGCCCACTCCGCCCCGAGTTAGGTGCAGAAGGGTTTGCCGCCAGCCTTGGGCAAGGCCAGCAGCTCCCGGGCAGGGCCTGCAGCCGGGACGTCCTGGGGCGCGGCTGGCGGAAAGGCGCGCGCCAGGGGTGCCGTCAGCATATTGGCATCGGGCCCCAGCGTGCGTCCCAGAGGCCCCGGGTCCAGGAGGGCGCCCTTGGCAGTGGCCCAGGCCTGGTTCAAAGTGCTGTGCCTGAGAATGGGGTCGTGGAAAACTCCATCCACCCAGTTTCTAAGACTGGTTACCGGAGAGTCCTGGTGCCTGTCCAGAGCCCCGGAGGGGGGCGGGGCCGCAGGCGAGGACGCGGCGGTTGCGGAGGACCCGGGGCCAGGAGCGGCAGGGCCTTGGCGCTTCAGCATGCAGGAGGGAAACTCAGTCTGGCTCAGGGCAGTGGTGGCGGCGGCCGCGGTGGCCGTGTGGGCCAGTGACCAGATGCGCGGCTTGGCCTCAAGGCCCACTGTCGCCCCAGCCGGCACAAAGCCCAGCTTGGCCTCACAGGCCTGTGGGCCGCCCTCTGAGCCCGGCTGCTGCTCTGGCCCTGCTGTACTCCGACCCCGGAGGCAGCTCCGGGCCCTCTCCAGGTCCTCGTCTAAAGCGGCTCCGCCTCCCGCGGCCAGGGGCATCCGGAGGACGCCCGAAGCTTCCTTCCCCCTGCGGTCAGCCGCGGCAGGGACGCGCTCCAGGCCGCCGTCTAGGGGCTGGAAGGGAGGCTTCAGCTCGCACTCCCGGGTCTCCGTCTCCAGCGGGTCGAAGTCGTCCAAGTCGCTGAGTTCTAGCTCCTTCTCCTCTTTGCCTGCAGGCTCTGCTGGGAGAGAGAGCGTGGCGAGTGGAGGGACAGATGCTGACCGGTTAGTAGGCGCCCTCTCTCCCCCTCCCCCCAGCGGCGCCAACCTCCCACCCACCTTCGTTCTTGACGCTCTTGAGGGGCTCCTCCCGCGCCTCCTCCTCGCCCCCTTCCTCTTCCTCGCCCTCGGGATAGGTTCGCTTCTCGTCCGCACACTTGTTCCGTGGCGGCCACGTCATCTTGTTCTCCTTCTTGAGGCGCCGGCGCGCGTTGGCGAACCAGGTGGACACCTGCGTGAGGGTCATCTTGGTGATGATGGCCAGCATAATCTTCTCGCCCTTGGTGGGGTAGGGGTTCTTGCGGTGCTCCTGCAGCCAGGCCTTGAGCGTGCTCGTGGTCTCGCGCGTGGCGTTCTTCCGCCGCGTGCCGCTGTCCATGGTCCCGTACCTGGAGACAGGCTCTGCCAGGGGGCGCGGGCTGTGGCCCTCTGCGCCAGGGGCGGGAGCGGGAGCAGGCGCCGGGGGCGGGAGGCTCGGACTGGGACGGGGCGGGCAGTGCTTCCCCACCGTGCATGGGGTTGTGTTTATGGTCAAAAGACCCGGGTCAGACCCAAACTCCAGCCAGGTGCCACTGCCCACTGCCGACGGGCCTTGCCCTGGCTTTTGTTGCTCAAGGATGAAGATAACCTACATGGCATTAAACTCACAGGGAGCCTGAGCTCCTTCCCAGGTGGGAGAGGTCACAGCCTTTGCCATTTTTCAGAGATATTTCCTCCAATTCCTTTATGAGGCTTCTCTCCTACATCTTTGATCCCCAAACCATAAAAAAGATGTCACAGAAATTCGAGCCTCACCCTAATATATAATGCTTATAGGTAGAAAGGCTCATTACCACCCATGGAGAGGAAGAGCCCAGAGGGCCTAAGTGGACTTTCTTTGGTTAAATCAGTAATGGTTGCCCCATGGGAGGATGTGCTGTCCCAATGGGCATGGAGGGCCTGGGACTCCCCTCTCCCCTTCTCCAGTTCCCACAAAGGGAGTTGTGTGCTTGACCCCAACACTACAACCCAGGCTGTACTTGTTGAGGTGGAAGAAGAAGCCCAAAGTCCAGCAAGGAGGCTGCCCTATGTACAGGGGCTTCCAGAGGCCACTTCAGTGAAAAATCACTGCACAACAAGGACTTCTGGGATCCCTAGAGAGAGAGAGTGTGTGTGTGTGTGTGTGTGGGGTGGGCCAGGGGAGACTGGGGCTGACTTTCAAGCAGTAGGCAAAGGCTCACCAGAAGACCAGACAGAATGGAGGACAGAGTCAGGTCAAGCCTGACCAGATTCCTTCCCACCTCCCCATGCCTGTCAGAAGGGGTGTAGTGGTGGGGTTGATGACTGATGGTGGGAGGGCCCCCTGAATGGTAGTCAGTGCAGAAGGTCCAGTGGCCCACCTGTCATACGGGTACTGGCCCAGAGCCGGCTCGTATGGGTAGTAGGCCGCAGCGGATGGGGCCAGGCCCCCGTGGGTAGATCCTGTCCCATCCTTGGAGTCAAAGCTGTTCTGTAGGAACCAGGAGTGTGAGGTCCCAGGTTTTGGAGGCAACCTGGCTCCAGTCACCACCCAGCCCCGTGTTTCAACACCCTGGAGGCAGAGCTCTGGGAAGCCCTGCACTGCACCCCCAGTCCTGTAGAGAAGAAACCCATTTTCTGCCAGCTGTAGAGCTGGATCCACCAGCATGCAGTTAGGCCTGCAGAGCTGGAAGGGGGAAGAGGAGAGGTGAGAGGGAACTGGGGGGTCTGCCTAAGACTGGAAGAGCCAGGATCCAGGCAGGAAAGTGAGACCCGGACCCAGGGGAGGAGGCAAAGTGGAGATGAGTGGAGAAAGGGGAGGGAGGGCAAGGGGTGGGCGAAACGTGAGCAGTAGGAGCAAGGGTGGGGAGGAACAGGGAGGGCAAGGGTGCCTCTGAGGGGGGTGGGGGAGAAGGAGGAGGGAGGCTGTGGTGAGAAGGGAGAGGGAGAAACGGGATGGGGCAGCGGGGAGGGAGCAGGGGTGAGCTTCAGGATTTAGCTGGAAACGGTAAACAATAAACACCGCGGCCCCCTGCCGGGTCACCTTGAGCTCAGGGGGCGGGGGGACCTTGAGCTCCAGGGCCCAGGCCTGAAGACGCAGAGTTGACGGAGTCAGAACGCGCTCCGCCCACCACAGCAGCCCTCTGAGGGGAGAGTGGGTCGGGCCCGGGCAAGGGCAGGGGCGGGGTCGGGAAGGCTGAGGTGGCCCCTTACCAGAGAGTAGAAGGCAGAGGCGTCGGAGCTGTAGGTCACGTAGTTGCCGTAGCCCTGTGAGCTGCCGTAGGGGGCCCCGTAGACGCCGAGCGCCGCGGCCGAGTTGAGCTCGTGGCGCGCCGTGGCCAGCAGCCGGCTCTCGTAGACCGGGCAGTAGACCGGCGCCTGGGCCGAGGCGGCGGGTCCGGAGTCGGCCAAGGTGCGGCCGCCCGACTCGCAGCACGTGCTCAGGGAGTTGGTGGTCATCAGGAACTGCGGAGAGACGGCCGCGCGGAACAAGGGGATGGGCACGGGGTGGGAGGAGTAGGTCTGGGGCCCTGCGCCTTCTCCTCCCTTTGTGTCGCTAGTCCTTGGGGCCTCCAGCCGCCTATGCCAGACCGCTGGTCCCTTCCTGGGAGCCTGCGGCGCGCCGGGGCCTCCTCCCGACACATCGAATCAGCCGAGGCACTCGCACCTTCCCCAGGAGGGTTCTCAGGGCTTCTCAGGGTACTAAGCAGGATCTACTTGACCCAAGAGATCCTGGCCCGCCCCCGCTCCCCGGGGGCATGCGACCCCGCCCATCGCATTTTCTCCCAGCCTCTGCCTCCCCGGTAGGCTCGACGCCGTCAACTGGGCACCGGGGCTCGCAGCACAGGCCCTGCTCGCTGCGGTGGGTGGCACATGGGGTCCTCCGGCCGCCTTCCCTGAGGCCCTCGCAGAGCTCCCCTTACCTGGGGAGCCGAGGAGTAGGGGTATCCGAACTGCGGGTAGGACATGGCGGGTGCGGCCCAGGGCTGACCGGCCGGGCCACAAGGTCCTGCTCGGGGGCCAGCAAGGCGCGGCCACTGCTCCGGGGCTGCAGGATTCTAGGCGCTGGGAGGGCGAAGCAGAAGAGCCGGTTAATTCATGTGCACGCTCTGCAAACTTTTCTACCCAGGTAGTAAAGTGCGCTGCGGTGGCCGCAGCTATTCTTTCAGCTTCGCATTCTGGAGCTTGGAGGGGGCTCTGGGACCTACCGCCCTCGTAGCGGCGACAGAAATACATATTTTGCAAAAAAGAAAAAAAAACGCGTCGCGCGAACCCGTCAAGTCAGATGCGCACGGCTTTAAGCTGTGGAGGCGCTGACGTCAGCCCCACGCCGCACAGCCGGGCCCGGCCGCAGACGTGCTGGTCACTCGCCGGCCGCTCGGGCCGGGGCGGGGCGGGGGCAGTCCGGGCCTTGTCGAGTCGGCGCAGGGGCCATTCATAGGCCTTGAACGAATGAGGTCCATCCAAGGAGTCAATCTCGCCGACGAAAGGCGGTTCTCCTGAGTCACCCGAGAACGGGAGGCACTTTTAATTAGAAATTAATTAATGAGCAGCTGCTCCTTCCCTCACCACTGTAATCATTAGTCTCAATTACAAATGAGACCTTTGAAGGGACACACGAGTGAGTCTTCAGTGAAGATGTAATCAACAGTTAAAATTAGCCCGGCACTGGCTGGCGCAGGCACAGCGGCCGCGCACGGAGAGCCGCTCCGGGGAGAAGTCGGGGCTCCCGCAGCCCCGGGCAGGCTGTGCGGCCACTGTTGTTAAAAGCAGAAATCGGGAACGCCCTCCCAGCAGTTCCACTCTACACGGGAATGGGAAGGGACTTTCGGAACCAGTTGCAGCCACTAGAGTGCCCGTGAGTGGACATCAATGCCCTCAGATGTCTCGGTCTTCGGGCGACGCTCCGGGACTGGTAGTCCGGGAGCTGCCGGCCCTTCTCATCTGGGCTGCTCAGTGTCGCGGAGAACGCCCCTCCGCCTTCCCCACCCGGGTCATTTAAATTTTCACTCAGACCACTGCCCCGCCTTGCTCGCTTACTTTCCTCCCCCAGCCCCCTTAGGCCGCTGCCCTGCTTGGCCTCCCACCTCCTCTTTAGGCTAAGCTAGGGACTGCCCGAGACGTCCCTGAGCTTTGGGAAGAGCGGGTTCGCCAACTCGGCCCCGGGCTCCTCCCGCTTGGAGCGCTCCTCCGCCGCGCAGGGCTCAGTTGGGGGGTGGGGGAGGGGCCTTTAAGAGCTCGGCCAAGACGCCCTCCCCTGTCCATTTTCCGAAGCTTTATTGGGACACGCAGAGCGGTCCTGGTGGGGGGCAAGTGCCCACGCCTAGACTTCCCCAGCCTGCACGGGCCCTTGCCCACGCCCAGAGTGGAAGCCACCACGCAGGCGGCAATGGGGCGTTTGAGCCACTCCCAACCGGCTACCCGCCGTTTGCACCACTGCCCTCCGGGTGCAAGCGCTCGCCCTTGCTGCTCTCGCCCCCGGCCCGGCCTCCCGTGGTCTGCCAGGAGGGAATCCGTGCGCAGCGGCGCTGTGCAGACTTGCCCGGAAAGATTCCTGGGTTCAGACCTGTGAATCGCCCCGGGGTCACCCTCTAATTAATGATGACGTTCTCGCCCTCTCCCCAGCTGCAAGCCTGCCTCCCAGAAACGAAACCCGCCCGTCTGACAGCTCGGTTGAAGGTGATTGATGACTATCCGGAGACCACAGTACACATCATATAATATCTGCTGCGTAATTGCGTTAATTTACTGATGAGAATGCGCGTTCTCCATAGCGTTGGACCGCAGTCGGCCACGTCCGAACTGCTTGCAAAGGGAAACCATCGGGAATAATGAATAGCAGCTCCATGCAAATTATTCAGACAGTTTAGCGTCGGTAGCCGCGAGAAATATATAAAGAACACGAGTCAAATGACATTAATAATTGTTTCTGAATTCTGTATTGATTTCGTGGCAGGCCGTGTTTCTTTCTTTCTCACCTGAAACGCTAATATCACCTTCCTGTAAATAATAAGAAACTAGCCACCGGGGCTTCTCAAGTAGAAATGAATCTCTCAATCCCTCTCCCTTTCTACCCGCTCCTCCCCTCCCCCATCCTCCCTCCTCCCACCCCCTTCCAGGTTTCCAGCTTTTGCTGGGGCTTTATCGGAACATCCTCCTACTTTCCATTATTTATTGTTTACAAACAACTGGCTTTCCCCAGGTAATGAGGCCAGGGTGAGGGAGGGACGAGAATGGACTGCAGCTGGGGGTGCAGGGGACAGGAATCTCAGCAGAATGTTGGCCTCTGCAGCGACTTTTGTCGCCCTGGTCTGGACAATCAATTTCAAGTGGAGAAGAAGCCAGGGTTCCTGGCCCCATGGCCTGTGCCCTGAGCCTCTGGTCTCTGGCTCACACCGCTCAGCCCATCCAGACCTGGGAGCTCATGGTGTTTCCTTCCTACTACCAGACTGGGCCAGGGCTGAGGGGAACTAGGCCCCTGACACCCGGCCATTCATCTTTTGAGCAGACATGCTCACTCTCTGAGTGGGGGCAGGGGCAGGGGCAGTCTCCACTTCCCAGGCAGCCTCCTGGGGACCTGGGGGAGGGGCTTCAGGTACTCCCTTAGACCATCACCAGGATGTTCTCTTGTTTACCTTTCCTGGAAAGTCTGTGTGCATACACAGATACTTCCAGTCCCTACCAGCCCCAGCCAGTTCTCTCCTGCGACCCTTTCTCTCTGACCCAGAAATCTTGCTCAGGGGACTAAACAAACATTCCCAGGCTGCTGGGCACTGACCCTCCACTCACTGCCTGTTCCAGGCCCAAGTCCCAGCTGGCTGTCCCAGCCACCCTGTCTGCAGAAGCCTCCAGGTGCCCTGGGAGCCTCATGACCTTGCTGGGCCTCACCTAAACCGTGTGGTCCAATTCTCGATGCAGGATACAGGGTCCATCCAGCCTGTCCTGGCAGGCGTCCCACTGAAAGTCTGTAGCCTGGCCCAGGCTACCTGGCCACAGCAGGGATATTCTCTGGATCAATCTTGTCCCATAGGTAATACAGGAATAATTATTCAAGTGCTCTTTTCTCAAAGGTCAAGCCTTCACCTAAGATGCCCATTTTTCTCTCCAGAAGCAGACAAAACTGGTGTCAGCATCTCAGGTGTCACCAGCTAAATATGCTTGTATAGGTGTGAGGTGCTGAGCCTATGTCCTTGGAGACCCCCAGTTATAAGTACACCTGTGAACAGGACACCAGAAGTCACCAGGTGCCTGGACACCAGAGCAGCTTGCTGTGGAGTTCCAAGGAGCAACCAAAGATGGCCTGAAGGGGATTGGGGGATGGGGCAAAAGGGGAGCAGAGGACAGTCCCCCACGAAGAACAGGGCACCACCTATTTTGCCAGATAGGATGTGGATGGTGAAACCATGGAAGGCCCTGGGGGAAAAGGCCAGATTCTGACCTTTCTGCCACCAGCCTAGACCTGGTGCTCCCGGAGTAATCCTTCCCCAGTAATCGGTGGGGACCCTCCTTCCCCCACCAAGAGCTGGCCCAGGAGCAGAGAATACCCCCTCTGAGGGCAAAAGGGGCAGCACAGAGTGTAGGGTACAGCTGGCCTTTCTTTCTGAGGCTTGGGGCCAGAGCCTTTGGGGCGTCTGGGTCCGCCACTACTTGGGGATACACCAGTGGGGTACAAGGCTCGGCGGCCTTCCGGATGTCCGTGACCCCGACGGGAGAACCCCTTTGGCAGGACGCTCCTTTACAGTCGGTCCCCAGGACCGCTGAGAAGCCAGTGGGACTAGTTTAGGGACAAGCGCTGAATCCCTTGTTCCTAAACGGCTTCCATCCCGGCCAGCCCTCTCCCTCCCATCTCCCGCTGCGCCCCGCTGCTGCTCTCTGGGTGCTGCCAGAGCAGGAAGGAGCGCAGTAGGGGTGTCTGGGGCTCTGGCCCTGCCATCCCGCGACCAGCGCCAGTTTCCGCACCCTGCTTCCCGCAACTTCCAGAAAAGACGGCGGCCTCCGGAGACCCAACCAGCTGGGAGAAAACTTTGTCCCCTCCAGAGCAGAAGCGATCCTCGCAAAGTTTGTGCCGCCGAGCCCACTCCCTACCTGAGCTGGGAAAGCTCCCGCCCGCGCCGCTTGAGTGCCAGGGCCGAGGGGAGCAGCTCGCAGCCCGGGACACACCGGGGAGTCGCTGCCGCCGCTACCGCCCGCGCCCCTCGGCGGCCGAGCGGAGCCTCCGCCTCCTCGGAAGGGGGGAGGGGTCTCGGAGCCCCGGGGCGGGGGCGGGGGCGGGCGCGGGGACCTCACCTACCTGCGGTGTCTCTGGGTCACTCCCGGTCGGCCACGAGGGCTCCTCGCGGCCGCTTGGCGCGCGCGCTCCAGCGGGGAGCAGGCGACAACTAATGGAGACATTTCCAGGCGGAGCACCTGGCGAGCCGAGCGCGCCGGCGTCCCCAGGCGCCGCGGTCGTCAGCCGAGCTCGCACCGGCGTGACGTGGGCGAGCGAGCGCGCCGCTCCCACCCGGCAGCCCATTAACGCTTTCTCCCGCGGGCGCCGGGCACTTGCCAACTTTCCCCTTCGCCAGCCCGCGAAGAGTGCGCGCGGGTGCATGCACCAGGGTGAGGGGCGCCCAGGGTGCAGGCAAGGACGCTGGAGGCCGGTTGGGCGGGGACGCGGGGCTCTGAGAGGACACCCCAGCCATGACAGGACAGCAGGAAGGCCGCGGCCCTGATTTGGCCAAACGCCTCGTCCTCCACTCTGCTGCAGGTGACCTTGGGCTCTGGGTCCTCCGGCTCCTCTCTGCATCAGGAGGTCCCACCCCTGGACTCCTGGGCCTGAGCAGCAGTGCCCCCAAATAATCGGCTGGTTCTCCAGGTCCCAGGTCTCTTCCAGGACAGAGGTTGATATCTCCCCCCAGTGCCCTGGCCGCTCGCCTACGGAGGAGAGGCTTCCCCCTGGCCCCCAGCTACCCCTGGAGTTGGCTGGGCTGGGCCCTGTCCCCTTTCCTGTCTCTCCCCCCACGCTAAGTGGGCCCCTGTGCTTGGTTCTCTCCCAGGTGTCCACATTGGCCCCTACCTGCCTGGGCTCTCA